GTAGACTATATAATCGCCTCTTTCTATGCCGAATTTTGTCATAGAGTGAATTGATCAATAATATTTATGACGTGATTAAGCACGCCATTTCTATTTCACATAAACCGTTACATTTACGATATTAAATAATTACCTTGAACATCTGGTTTATTACCTTTGATAGACTTTCGCCCGCACATCTATGAATTTTAAGTCAAAGAATTTAAGAATTTAATTACATTAAAATTTTTTTTTAGTTTATTTGATTGGTTAATGATCACATTTAGATCATTCAGAGATGAAACGAATTTAGGAAATAAAGAAAAGAATGACCAATAGTGCCCTTTTGGGGCGTAGTGGTAAAAGTGCTGGAATACATAGCTTATGACCGGGTTTGAGACCGCCTTTAACAAAATGCAAAGTAAGAGTGTCTGTTACTAGGGCGAAATATATATATATATATGTATTCTAAATAAATTATATCTGAACTAGTTATTCTGAGGTTTTTGACTTGTTGTAAAATAAGTTTAATGTATAAAACTCTTATACCTGTGATTAATAAAAAATAGTGCAACTACTACTAATGACTCTAGGATATGGCAAGGATCTTCTTAAACATTGACGTTAATATGGGCTAGGTGCTGGAAAAGGATTTGGTAGATTTCCTCGACAACCATTTACCCGACAACCATTTTGCCGACGGCCATTTTACCGACAGCCCATTTCCCTGACAGCCCACTTCCCCAAAACTATTATCCCGACAGTTCATTTCACCGACAATCACTAGCCAACACTAACTATAAATCAGGCCAACCCTAACCAAAAATCGGGCCAAAATTGTCAGGAAAATGGTTTCGGGAAAGTGGGCTGTGGGAAATATGTTTTCGGTGAAATGGGTGTCGGGTAAATGGTTGTCGGGGAAATTGGTTATACCGCTGGAAAAAGGGACGAATTTGTTTCAACAGAAATTTTTTTGCGTAAATCAATTTAAAATAAGTTTAGGATCATTTTTTACTTAAAACACAGAAGTAGTTGTATTAATAAAATTTTGCAGTATTGCTCCTTAAAGTTTACATAAAAATCAATTTTCCGAAGGTTTTTTTTTGTCAATTTCGTCCCTTTTTTCAGCACCTAGCCCGTATGTTTTTTATACTGGGGTGTTAGATATTATCATAGTGCAGCACTAAATGATTGGCTCACGTAAGATTTTTAAACTTTGTCGATCATTCTTTTTCATAGATAATTTACTATGCAATAATTATAAAAAATTCTAACACGTTCTAACTTTTTTTCTTACTAAGTAAATCAAGTTCTCTAAATTTTGAGTAATATATATATACAGTCGAACCTCCCAAAACTGATCCTGTCAAAACTGATAACCTGTAATAACTGATACAAAATTGAGCCACCAT